GTGCTGCTGGCTGGACCCTTTGTGGTGATAATACAGTGTGACACAAGGGAAACAAAGGCGGATTGATGGGCCCAGCAGGTAGCAGGAGCAGCTCCGGCCTTGGTTAACAGCCACAGTTCCAGGGGCCCGAAGCTCACAGGGGCTGGTTTCCAGAAGGCCCAGTACACTCCTGGAAATGTTAAAAAACGTTCCACGTTCACACGATAACGCTATGATCACAATCGCTGTTTGGACAAAACAGCATGTGCGAACGTACATTTTCCTATAAAACGGTGGAAATTGTTTAAAACATCTGGGACCTGGATGATTCAAAGAGTTTCAGTAGCTGTGGCAAAAGTCAGGGGTTGCAGCCCATGTGGGCTGGTGAAATGAGACGGTCTAGTTTACGGATGATGTATGTTTGCGTGACCAGGCGTTACCACAGTGTTACGTTTTACGTTACATGCCTTTAGTTGTCTTTTCATGGTCTGACTTCATATAATTGAGTGTTGTTAAAAAAATCTACATGTAAATAAATAAAAAACATTATTAACTTGGGTTTAGCTCCACTATCAGTACTTGTAACTGCATTTGATCGAACATCTCATTGCAGCATAAAGTTCATCAGCGAAGTTGCTAAACTTACACTAGAAAACAAGTTCTTAGGTTAATGATAAATTTCCAAATTCCACTGTAAAAAATAATAAATAAAACTTGTTTTTCTGGTTAGTTTGCTGACAGCACAATGAACCCTGGGATATCGTCAACCATGGATACTCAGACGCYGCCTACATTTTCGGGTTTTTACACATTGGTGCAACGGTTTACGGCGTGGTGCAGTAGACGATTGCCCAAAATGCAACAGAACTGTTGCGATTTTACTTAAAATGTCCAACATCAAGCTGAGCAGGAGTGCACTTCTGTGGCCTGTAACGTGTTCTGTTGAAGAATAAGCTTTAGAGCTTTGTGGTCACCGGCAAACTGCAAGTTTATTTAGTTTGATCACGTCCTGTTGTTTAAAAAAAAGAAATTAAAAAGAAATCCAGGCCACTCGAAGCTTCAGGACACATTTTCGTGTGTGTGCGTTTGTCTGCACCGGTGCCAGTGGTGTGTAATGAGTGAGCCACTGTAAGTGTGCTGTGGTTGTGAAACAATGGTGTCTGGTTACACAATAAGCTGTTGCCTTCAAAGGAGGCGTAACACCATCCCTGAGACGGAGAAAGAAACAGAACGACACGCTGCAGGATTTCACCGAAGGGGGTGGGGTGTGGGGGGGAAACACTCCTGAAACAGTATCCAGACGAAGAGCAGCACACCTCGAGGATGACAGGAGGGTCCCTGAGATCCCACCGAGCTTAACCCTCCTGACGTCACAACAGACTGACGCCACTGCAGCAAATCTTACAATAAAAAAATGTAAACAATGTTCTGTAAAATATATTTGATAAAACACCTGGTCAAATATGATCAAATCTTTTTTGTTTTCTTCTTCTTCTTGTGTTTACAGTTTGTATATATTAAACAGTGTATTGTTCTAAGTGTTATGTGCATGCTCCTCGCCTTGTTTCCTGTTTCTGCTGTGTTTTCGCATATAGCACCATGTACAGGTCTGGCAGAGTTACTGCAGCATTTCGGGTCATTTCCATGATTATAAACAGTACCAGGATATTTTTAAAATGACAATTTAAAAAATGCCTTTTGAGGGAAAAAAAGTTCTCCTGTTGACAAGGCCTTGGTTTTGTTTTCTAGGGTTCTTATTTTTCCCACTGGCAAATACCTGCACCTAAATATGTCTTTTCAAAGATGAAATGTTGTGTTAAAAGGTTATCGCCTGCAGGGATCCCATCTGTCTCAAAATTGGCAGCAGTAAAACATCATTTCTGTCCAGGCTTTTGCACAAGATTGACACTCTCCCCCTCTTTTTCTCTCCCCCGACTCTCTCTGTCTGTCTTCGTTCGTCTCTTTTAGCAACCAGAGAGTCGGCGTTTGTCCACGCCATAGCCTCCGCAGGCGTCGCCTTCGCGGTGACACGCTCTTGCGCCGAGGGGACGTCCACCATGTGCGGCTGCGACTCCCACCACAAGGGGCCCCCCGGCGAGGGGTGGAAGTGGGGTGGCTGCAGTGAGGARGCAGAGTTCGGGGTGCTGGTGTCCAGGGAGTTCGCTGATGCCAGAGAGAACCGGCCGGACGCTCGCTCGGCGATGAACAGGCACAACAACGAGGCGGGACGCTCGGTAAATACGATTGGTTTCATTTGGTTTTTCTCTTATTTCTGTTGTTTTAATCAGACTTCAGTTCTTGACTTTGAATGACTGGGTAATTACTCATCTAAACAACACCCGCCCCCCACCTCTCACGCTTTGCATTCAATGAAAAAATTCCCCAACAGTCAAATAACCCAAGTGAGCCGAGGGGGAAAGAAGGGAAATCAACTCTGATTTAAAACTTCACCGGCTGCTGAACAGGCCCTCAACAGCTTGCTGTGGGGGGCAAACAGAGGGACCACACTGCAACAGGACGACCCTTTGATCTGTCGGAGGGACCGCAGCCGCTAACGACGATGTTCACCTTCAGCTCTTTCCACCTGCACCTCTCACGCTCCAGTATTTATCCCTCAGGGCTCCGGACTTATCTCAGCGTGACAAGCTGACACCGTGATGTCACTGCCCCACCTCACCCGAAAAGTCTTCAACCACCTGCCTTCCACCCCAGCTGGGGGAAATTCTCCTGCTAAATACATCTGACGAAATAAAGCACAGCAAGATCAAAAACACGAAGGTGAAATGCGCCCTGAGGGAGCACACTCATGATGTGACTTCAGAGCGAATCAGCAGCTCAGAGCGTCTGGGCTCCACAGCTGCACCCAAACATCTACAACCTGCAGCCGGGGACGTTGTTTGCTTCTTGGTGCAATCGAAAACCTGGGTCGCCTGTAAACTTTTGACCCAGATGTTGCACCGGAACTTGTCTGATACGGAGTAAGAGCAGAGAATTTTAGTTTCACACTGGGTGTTTTTCTGTTTTTTTGCAATCGTTTGCACATTTTGAGCCATTCATCTATCAAAATGTTTTAGGGTTAGGGTTTTTAAGGTGCCATGACTTTGGCCTTTGCAACTGCTATAATTTTCAAACTCTAAACTTATTTTAAAATATTTTTCTGACAAGCCTGCCCTCTTTTTGTGAAGGCAAAAGTACGGCAGATTAATTTTCTCTCTGTTTTTTACTTCAGCAGTTTATCTGTTGCAGATCCAGCTTGAGATTTTTGTTGAAATCTGTCCAGAGGTTCGTGATGTTTTGGTAACAAATGGACTAGGGTTGGGCAAAATCATATTGTGTGCAATTATCATCAGAAAAACTGTCAACAGTTTGTAATTAAAGCAATGCATGCCGTATGACGATGACTACTGCTATCATTATCGGGGGCACATGTGAGCCCAACAGAAGAAGACAGCGCAGAGCAACCAGTGGTGCATCTAGGATTTTTCTGAGTAAGGGGCCGTGTATTCGTTCAACACTGCACACAAATCCCTACTGTGCAAGGATGTGTTTAGACATTGAACATCCACCATCACTGCTTTTGGGCAAAGGACAGAGGAGTGACAGGACAAGGGAACTTCAGGGGCCAATCAGACATCATCTGGGGCCAATGCCCCTGTGGCCCCGCCCCTAGAATTGCCCCTGAAAGAAACTAAGGCTAACTCTAACACTATGAACTTGTTTAATCGCCTTAAAAACCAATATAAACCAGAGTACAAGAGAAGTCCAAAAATGCGGACCAAGGTCACAACTCTTCATTTAAGTACAATAGACTTGATTGTAGTTAAAACTGTTACAAATGCTTGAAGTGAGCCGAGCTCATGTTTTTTTTGGCAAAACACAGAGGTTTCAATAGAAATGTTTTTGGACTGAATTTGATCTAAACTGATTTGTGTTAAACTTTCCTTTAGGATCATAGAAGAGATTTTTCATAACTATAAATTTACTTTTTGAGCTTCTTGAACTTCCTCAATTCCAATTTTATTTATTTACCGTTATTTAACCAGGCAAGTCCCATTGAGATCTCAGATCTCTTTTTCAAGGGCGGCCTGGGCCTGAAGGCAACCTATTGTACATGTTTTGGTGGGTGGGGGAAACCAGAGTACCCGGAGAAAACCCATGCAAGCATGAGGAGAACATGCAAATTCCTCAAAGAAAGACCCCAGGTCTGAACTGGGGATCGAACCCAGGACCTTCTTGCTGTGGGGCGTCGGTGCTAACCCCTGAGCCGTCGTCCTGCCAAATAGCGTCCATAGTAACCTGTGTTTTATCGGTTGACCTGTGACCCACAAGTACTCGTATCTACGAAATGGTTTGTCTTCCAACAATCGTCATCGACTAAATGCCACAATTAATCGTGACCATTTGTTTAGCAAATATTGTCCAACCCTAAGACGGACACACAAACAGAGTTTTATTCCAGTTTGTTTCCTAACCAGTATCTTCTGTGTTTTTCAGACCATCCTAGACCACATGCACCTGCGCTGTAAATGCCATGGCCTCTCAGGAAGCTGCGAGGTGAAGACATGTTGGTGGGCGCAGCCCGACTTCCGCATGCTGGGCGACTACCTGAAGGACAAGTACGACAGCGCCTCGGAGATGGTGGTGGAGAAGCACCGCGAGTCTCGGGGCTGGGTGGAGACCCTCCGGGTCAAGTACGCCTTCTTCAAACACCCCACCGAGCGCGACCTGGTCTACTACGAGGGCTCGCCCAACTTTTGCGAGCCCAACTCGGAGACAGGCTCGTTCGGGACTCGCGACCGGGTCTGCAACGTGTCGTCACACGGCATCGAGGGCTGCGACCTCCTGTGCTGCGGCCGCGGCCACAACACCCGGACTGAGAAGCGCAAGGAGAAGTGCCACTGCATCTTCCACTGGTGCTGTTACGTCAGCTGCCAGGAGTGCGTGCGTGTTTATGACGTGCACACGTGCAAATAAAAAAAAACTTAAACGGACTGCTCGGACCTTCAACCTTCTTCCCCAGCCTGACCCCTGCACGGCTTCCCTGCCTTCCCAAACATTCAGCACCCCACTCAGGCTATAACGGGTGAATCCAACCAGACACCGATTCTTCTACAGCCAAAACCCGCACTACTCAGTCCGAACCACTACGCCCACCACTTCTCAAGGGAAGAAGTTGCGTCACTCCTACCCCCACCTGTCTTTATTTATTTCCCTTTCATGCCAACACTGTTCATGGCATGTATAGTAACACTTTTTACCTGTGAGATTAATGCAGTAAAACTCTTTGCTTTAAAATAAAAAAAAGCATCTTTRAACTAACACCTCATCTCTCCAGCCACTCAAGCTGTTTTTGTTCCTTTTTATATTTAATCTGAACCAACGTCTCCATCTAAAGAGATACTTCAACAGCTTCAGAAAAACCCATCTGTAACTACTGAACTGAAAACCAGCAGGCCGGCGTTGGAAGTGCCACAGTCCTGTCTTTTTTGTAAACTACTGAGCTGAATCCTCAGTGTTGCTCTTTTTTATTTTGCTGACTGACTTTGCTGCTCCAATCAGTCAASTGGGAAGTCTGGAAGACATATGCTACAGTGTGATTTTTTTTTATAGCCTTGCGTTTTTGAATTATTACCACTGGGATGGGACAAGAGGTATGCAGGAGGAGGGGGGGGACACTCATTCCTTTGACTAACAACCCTACACATGTATATGTATGCACTATTCAGTTAATTCCAGGTGGMTAAAAATAATCTCTGCATTGTTTATGTGAGCAAATTCTTCTTTAATGCAACGTTCTTCTGAATGATGTCTTTGTTACTGCAACCCCAGTTATGAAAAGGTTGTGTAAACTGTGAATAAAACGCAATAATTTGAAAGTCTCAAACCCATATTTTACTCACTGTGGAACATTTTAAACAGCAAATGTTTAAGCTAATAAAGTTGCCAATATTTTTGACCTTTGAGCTCAGAGGTTTCTACAGATTCTATCAATCTGTTGATGAATATGAACTTTAAATGAAGGGATATTTGGAGTCTCAGTTTTCTGTTGAGAAACGTTACTCTGAAACTGTTGCACTATTTTTAGACAGTTTTGCTCGGACCTCTGCCCATCTTTGGTTCTGAGAAATATAGTTTTCATATCCAGTTCTCTTATTAATCTGTTGACAGATAACCAGATTACTTTTCGTGTAACTTTTATTGTCCCATCTCAATTTTAAAGGCCATAAAAAACAACTTTTTTCTAAAATTGTAATGATTATTTTTAAACATCTGATAACTATGATCCACTGTGAAAAAATATGGGTTTATGAGATTTGCAAACCAATGCGTTCTATTTTTAGTTACATTTTACCCAACCCAGGTGTTTTTGGAGTTGGGGTTGTATTTAAAAACAGAAAAATCAAAATGTAAATTGCTTGTGATTGCCAGAGATTTAATGCAACTGATTATTTACAGCAAATGTACGCGTCGAGCTTTAGCTCATCTTAATGACACTCCTGACCTACAGGAGGTTCAGACTAAAAATACATATTTTAAAGGTTTTTAAGTTTAAAGAAAAAAAGAGGGGACATGTGATGACATGTGGAGACCATGGGGTAGAGAAGCTCTTTCATTCCTGAAAGTTTTTTTTTTTTAGTTGAAGTATGCCTGGTTTATGAACTCGTGTTCTTGTCTGTACACCCTAAAACATGCCCGCCTCAGTTTCAGAAAATTCTGTTGAGAAATACAGCAGGGGGGGACAGATGTCTGTGTTTCATTTCAAATTAAATTGTAAAGAAATGTTAGTTTAAAAGGTCACCGAAGAAAAAGTGCGGGGAAAGGGGAAAAGACTTTGTGTTTATGTAGCTTTTTCAAAATTTGGTTTTGAGAAAACTGAGGTGAAGATTTTTGGGGGATGCATGAAATCTGACGATGCAGCCTGCTTCCTGTTCATCCTCTCTAACAAAACTACGAGTTCCCCTGTAGGCCTGAAGGTGGCGCCTCACTGGGCCCTGACTCGCTGGCAGACTCAAACTTTCGAGGTCATTCTCGGTTTCCTTGTGTGACTCTAAGATGCTCGAGTTTTGAACCGATTCTCCTCTCAAACACGTCCCGGTCTGAAAACGAAAAATAAAATTTCGAATAAATCATGAGAAGTCATGATGAAATAAGCTGGGCATTTGAAATGTTTGATGCAAAACAGCTAATTCAGCTAATTTTCTCACCGCTTTGAGCCGCAGTTCAGTGAGACCCAACCTTCAGGTCGTCCTCCAGCTGGACGCACCCGTCTGCGTCCACCCCTCCACCCTCCTACTTTTCCCGCTATATCCAAAGTTTTGTACAAATGTTTTAAAGTGAATAATTCCCTTTTTATTTTATAATCGTAAATGTTATGTTTTTATAATTATTATTTATTATACAATGTATATATCTGTATGACTGACCTAAGATTATATATTTGAAGAACAAAAATTTGTCTCGTTTCAAGTTTTTCTTTCCTTCCTTTTCACAACTATGACTTCAAATTTGTGGCAGTTATGAAGTTTTTAAAGGGATATTTCAGATTTTTAGAAGAGAAGTTCTGTGTAAATGTGAGAAATGATTAATATCTTACATGTAGGCTGTTAGTTCATCAGTCTGGTCACAGTCAAAGTCTGTTGTTCAGTTATCTACACCAGGTAAGATACTGACTGTTCATAACATTTCCACAAAACAGAAAATGCTAACAAATTGAAGATTTGTTCAAAAAATATGGCTTCCAAATATTATGAATAAGTTTAAAATATGGATTAGTAAAATAATAATAATAATAATAGTAATAATAATAATAATAATAATAATAATAAAGGACTAGAGTTCTTTGAAGAAACTTTTTTCAGTAATATCACCATTTGTGACTAAGATCATCATGACACAGTTTTTGTCAAACAGTAAAAACAATCTCATGAGATATGTGAGAGGTTACGGGATGACCCTCGGCTACTACCCGGCCAAATTTTAGCTGAATATTTGTAAAACTGACTGAGTTAAAGCCATTGTTGTGTTTTAATTTGGCTGTGGCAGATATCTTACCCAGTTCTAAGTGTGCATTTAAGGATTATTTTCTGAAGTTTCATTAAAATAAGTCCAATAGTTTATGGTGAGATTTTATTTAAAAGCAGATAAGATGCTGCAGAATCAAAACTTCCTTTTTTTTTGCAAATAAAACTATATTAAAACCTAGGTATCAACCAAAACTTAAAAATAAATGAATAAATTCTTGAAGGAGCAAAAGCCTTAAAAAATGTCTGTCATGAAACTTAGTTTGGCCTTATAGAAATGTTTATTTTGTTTCTTAGTTGACTTTAATGTCAAGGCTGATCGGTGCAGGAGGGTTTGATCAATAATTAACGACATTTCTTGTTAGCAACATTTAATTTATTCATACAATAAAAAGATGAGACAGAAGCATGGTGTCCTGGAATGATTAGATTACTGTGCACACAAATAAAACCTGCATAAACAAACATCTTTAGTGTTTGCCCATCCTGACGTGGAGCAGCGTCGTTAGCTCGGACTCTTTTTAACTTCAAACAAATCTGAATAAAATCCCAGAGGAGCGCCGGGAACGTCACAGATTACAGCATTAGCCATCAGCAAACACGAAACCCAAACACGGAGTTTGTATCTGATTTTACGCGCTCACATAGTGCCGAGGAGGAGACGGTGGCCTGGTTGGTGTCTGCGCCACAGAGCTTCAGGGATGGATTCCTGCCAGCCTCTTCCAGGCTCCCGCTGCTGAGCGTCTGAGTGAAAAGAGACGAATAAAAGTGAGAAACGACAGACGAGCGAAGGAGGCGTGCTGCCACAGGAGAGCACCTGTCTAGTCGACCTATTTTTAGGCGCGCCGACTATACCATAAGTCTGCGATGAGACGCAAACCTCCTGCAGCAACAACAAAAGCTGAGGTTTGTTCTTTATCAGCCGCGCTCCTCATAGGATGGATTTAAAGAAACTTTCAGAAAGTTTGTGCTTTAAGAGGATTTAAGAGCCTCAGATTCAGAGAACTCTGTGACAGCTGAGTGCTCAGTGACAGCTGGAGTGTAATGAAGAATTTAAAAAGTAAAAAGCAGAACACGACAGTGGCTAAAATGAGCAGAACAGAAGAAGAAATTACTAAGTCAAAATCTAAAGTGGCCTGACCAAAAAAGTTAAAACAAGCAGAACTGAAATAAATAAAATAGAAGCTAAAACGAGCATAGAGGCTGAAAAGAATAAACCACAAGCTAAAAGTGTCAAAATAAAAGCTAAAATGAGAGCAACTTAAGCAAAAAGTGGTAGAACAGTAGCTAAAATGAATTAAAAGGAGGCAGAAAAGAGCAGAGCACAAGCTAAAGGCTAAAACTGGCAAAACAGTAGCTAAAATGAGCAGAACAGAACCAAAAACTGAGGCTAAAGATGGCAGGGCAAAATATTGATTGAGCAAACTACAAGCTAAAAGCTAAAACTGGCAAAACAGACGCTAAAATGAGCAGATCAGAAGTTAAAACAGAGGTTAAAAATAGCTGAGCAAAGAACGGARAGAGCAAACCAAAAGCTAAAAGCTAAAGCTGGCAGAAAAGTAGCTAAAATGAGCAACCACAAGCTAAAACAGAGGCTAAAAATAGCTGAGCAAAGAATGGATAGAGCAAACCACAAGCTAAAAAATAAAACTGTCAGAACATTAGCTAAAATGAGCAGAACAAAAGCTAAAACTAGCAGAGCAAAAGACGGATAGAGCAAACCAAAAGCTAAAAGCTAAAGCTGGCAGAAAAGTAGCTAAAATGAGCAACCACAAGCTAAAACAGAGGCTAAAAATAGCCGAGCAAATGGATAGCGCAAACCACAAACTAAATGCTACAGCTGGCTGAGAAGTTGCTAAAATGAGCAAAACAGAAGCTAAAGCAGAGACTAAAATAGAACAAACAAAAAGCTAAAGGCTAAAGCTGGCAGAAAAGAGCTAAAATGAGCAGAACAAAAACTAAAACAGAGGCTAAAATAGAGCAAACCACAAGCTGAAGGCCAAAACTGGCAGAATGGTAGCTAAAATGAGCAGAACAGAAGCTAAAATTAARCAAATAGAGGCTAAAAAGAATATAGCTGAAAAGAGCAAACCTCAAGCTAAAAAGTAAGAATGGCAGAATAGCAGCTGAAAGCTAAAATGATCAAAACCTGTGCTATTCAAAAAATTAGCCAAACATCAGCTAAAATGAATGTTCCTGAGTTAAACTGAAGTTAAAATTGCATCACAAACTATCAGCAACATTTCTTGTCCAATTTCCACAGTTCAGACTTTTAGCTGCCACTCAGTCACATCATCCACGATGAGCACGTTGAGCTGCTGACGATAAAAAACGATATCTGGGCCGGGACAGTTGGAAACTCGTTAGCAACTCAAAGAAGCGAGAAAATTGTTTGGCTTGAATGAAATCAGCCTCGGCAGAAAAGGTGATGTTTTGATGGTGATAATTCACCTACATTTGTTAACTTTAATCTCCTTTATTAACAAAATTAAACACAGACTTAAAGCAGGCTCAGCAGTCTTACCATTGAAAGCTGCCTCTTCTTCACTATGTGGGACCAGTGGGTCTAGATCCCTGCGAACTTATTAGAACCCAGTCTGCACAAAGAGGAGGAAAAGGAAACCTGTTTAATATTAATCACACTTGATACAATGATCATATGTAAACATCTGTGCTCTCCTCTCAGACAGGTCGAAGGAACGGATGAGAGCGAGTGTTCAGTGTCACAGAAATCTGTCGAGAAGCAGGAAGTGAGTACTTACGCTCCTTCATCCTTCAGTAGACTCAGGAACTTACTAACCCTGTAGTCAGGATCCATCTGAAAGACAAAAACACAGGTTTAGTAAAAGAACTTCACATTATCAAAAAGAAAAAAATTGTATAGGTCTTCTGGACGGGTTCTTCTCTAATGAAAAGTTTCGTCTCTCCTCCAAGAGACTTCTTCAGTCTGAGAGTTTCAGGCAAAATTCAGGCTTTTAAGCACTGCCTCCATGTGACTGAAACTCACATCACATGGCTATCGTTGACACCTAATTAACACCTATTGTTAACAGGGGGTAGAGGGATACTGGCAATGGCCGCGCTGTAGGAGGGGGACAACTGAAAACGGAGGCCTCCACCTCTGTTTAATGATGGACGGTCTTTCTTCACAAAAATGGCTTCTTTTACTCCTCTCTCAAACCAACGTTCCTCTCTATCAAGAATGAGAACATCCTCATCTCTGAAAGAGTGACCGCTGGCCTGTAAATGAGTGAAAACTGCAGAGTTCTGGCCATTAGATGTAGCTCGTCTGTGTTGGGACATTCTTTTGAACAGTGGCTGCTTTGTTTCCCCGATGTATAACTGGTCAAATGATGTCCCAGTGGCTTTCAAACCCCAAAACACATTACGGCAAAGGCTGGTTCACCCCAAAGATCCGGTGCCCCGGCACAAACAGAGCAATGATGTATATGCTGTTAAGTGCCAGGAGGACTGCGACCAGTTATACATCGGGGAAACAAAGCAGCCACTGTTCAAAAGAATGTCCCAACACAGACGAGCGACATCTAATGGCCAGAACTCTGCAGTTTTCACTCATTTACAGGCCAGCGGTCACTCTTTCAGAGATGAGGATGTTCTCATTCTTGATAGAGAGGAATAAAAGAAGCCATTTTTGAGAAGACCATCCATCATTAAACAGAGGAGGAAGCCTCCGTTTTCAGTTGTCCCCCTCCTACAGCGCGGCCATTGCCAGTATCACTCTACCCCCTGTTAACAATAAGTGTTAATTAGGTGTCAACGATAGCCATGTGATGTGAGTCCTGATGCATCTCAGTAATCCAGGTAAAAAATCAAAAAGAAAAAAAATTGTGTAGGTCTTCTGGACGGGTTTTTCTTGAATTTTGCCTGAAACTCTCAGACTGAAGAAATCTCTTGGAGAAGAGATGAAACGTTTCATTAGAGAAGAACCCGTCCAGAAGACCTACACAATTTTTTTTCTTTTTGATTTTTTACCTGGATTACTGAGATGCATCAGGACAACTTCACATTATGCTGTAGATGGAAGCTGGAAGTACAGTTTGTGCTGTCGTCTCAAAAAACAAAATCCTGCTTCATTTTATTCAAAGTGAAGTTAAAACCATGAAGTCTGTGAAACAGTCCCTGAGATAAACTCTGGTGATTCAGAACACATGGTTGTAACTTGGACCGAGACTCAGAACATGGTTTTTATAACACTGAACTTCAGCAGCCGGGAGAACGGCCTGGACTACAGAGCCATCTGCTCCTCTCCAGCTCGCACACGACAGTATTTCTGTCCCTGTCAGAGCGGCCGGTGACTGCTGAGAATGTCAACCAGATGTTTGAGGAAGAGGAGGAACATACCGCTCCAGTTCAGACCACACAGTTTGACATTTTCTGTTCCCATCAAATGGGACGTGACAACGGAGTTATTAAAAAAAGGCTTTCTCGATCGTCGTATCGCAGTTGAGAGTCAATCAATCAAAACTTTATTTGTATAGTAAATTTTCACCGCCAACAGCAAAGTGCTGCACAACAGAACAAAAATACAATAAGATCAAATCAAGTAAACACTTCCGTAAGTAAAAAAGAATACAAAAAATGCACCTCTTTCTTAACACCTGGATCCACCAGGTCAAACACTCTGATTTGAGAAGGTTTTTAAATGTGCAAATCTATCATCAGTGTCTTACCTGTGCAGCCATTTCAATCAGCATGAGCAGCTTTTTTATCCCGATGAATAAAAGTTGGCCTTTTACAGCTTTAGCTATGCTCATACGCTCTTTCTCCTGGAAGGAACCCAGCAGCTGTGAAGAGCAAAGGAAACGAGGAAAACTCTTAGTTATAATGAAAATAAAAGAACAGATATTGCCCAAAGCATATATTATAAAAGATTTAAAACAGCTTCAATCCATTTAGTGATAATATCTGGACGACAATTTGAGAACAGAGTAATTTCTGGTTTTACCTCCAGCGCCTCGACCAGCTGCTCGCCTCCTGAGATGTTGGGGATGTGGACGGTGGTGCTGAAAGCGTCCAACATCTCCATCTCCTGGAGGARGTCTTTCCGACTCGTGGTGCCGATGATCAGCAGCTTTCGACCCTGAAAGACGAGCAGCTCGTTTATTGACATTTTTGTCATCTTGTTTGAATTTATTTGCTGTTAAGATGCTGAAAAAAATAAAAAGAACGGGAGAGATTAAACAATGAGAAAAAAGTGAAAGGTCATGTGTTAATAAAATATAAACAAAAAGACTAAAAGTGGGAATTAAAACCATCATCCTCATGCACTTATTTTCACTCGGACATTATAGTAAAAAGTATTCACTGCTTTTATTGCTGTGATAGAGAGTTTATAAATAGTCATAAATACCTAAAAATTATGTTTCACAAGGCATTTTGTTAAATGGTTAACTGATGTTTTTGTGCATTTCTCTCAAGTCTCTGCTACTTTTATTTTGTAGGTCAAAAGTAGAAATGTTTAGGAACATAAAAGACATTTAGTCCTAAAAAGAAAGAAATAAAATAAATCAGTTTTGATAAGGCTTTTGCAGGATGTAACATGTACTGGTCAGGATTCACTGCAAAACCTGTCCATCTTACCAAGTTTTAAAATCTTATATCCTGGCAAAAAGTCTTTTTGATCTTGTTTTGAGACTGATTTACTAAACAAGAACTGATTGCGTAAGAATAATGGGCCTCATGCAAGAACATGTTCGTATTCTTATCCTAAATTTCTCTTACTTTTGTTCATACGAAGGGTTCGTACGAACATGTCACGTCAGATTCAACAAACTCTTCTATCTTCAGGAAAAGTGTGTAAATGAGCTGCGTAAATTCCAACTGTTCTATCCAGCTGCTCGTGCACGCGAGAGATTAGCATAATTACCACCCCAAAAACACCATTTAAGGCTGTGTTTCCTGCCTCAGATATCAGGAAGTGTCCATTCATGAAAATGACAGCGAAAATTAAAAAGAAAAATTTTACGAGTTCAGAGATTGAAGTCCGTCTGTCAGAGATCCAGAAAAGAAAATCTGTCATTTTTAGCAGGTCAGCTGTGGAATAAAAAGAGCTGCTAAAAGATCATTTTCATTTATTCAGAAGACACCGTCGTGCACGGTAACACCCCCCAGCATGTTGAAGCTCCTTTAAAGTTTGCTGCACAACATTTAAACAAGCCTGTGTAATACTGGGAGAATATAGTCTGGTCAGATGAGACCAACATTGAACTGTTTGGATGCCAGAATACACATCATGTTTGGAGGTCAAATGGCACTGCACATCAGCCCAAAAACACCATACCAACAGTGAAGTTTGGAGGTGGGAACATCATGGTGTGGGGCTGTTTTTCAGCATAWGGTACTGGCAAACTTCAAATAATTGAAGGAAGGATGAGTGGAAAAATGTACAGAGACATTCTTGATAAAAATCTGCTTCCATCTACCAGGATGATGAAGATGAAACGTGGCTGGACATTTCAGCAAGACAATGAGCCCAAACACAAAGCCAAGGAAACTCTCAGTTGGTTTCAGAGAAAGAAACTAAAGCWGCTGGAATGGCCCAGCCAATCACCTGACCTGAATCCAACAGAAAATCTATGGAAAGAACTAAAGATCAGAGTTCATAGAAGAGGTCCACGAAACCTTCAAGATTTGAAGACTGTTTGTGTGGAAGAATGGGCCAAAATCACACCTGAGCAATGCATGCCACTAGTTTCTCCATKCAGGAGGCGTCTTGAAGCTGTCATTGACAACAAAGGCTTTTGTACAAAGTATTAGATACATTTCAGTAAGTGTGTTCAATACTTTTTCCCTGTGCCATTCCACATTATTACAAATAACTTCATTTCTGGACATTTATGGTTTGATTTCTTTGTATGTATGGATCACTTGGGTTGTTACCGACATCTGGTGAAAATTTCATGTCATTAGCACCTCTAGTAATATATTTACTGAGAAAAATGGTGACATGTTCAATACTTATTTTACCCGCTGTATAAGATTTTAAAACTTGGTTAGGTGGACAGTTTTTGCAGTGTAACGTCTCGTCAGTTTTGGTCCATTTTCTGGCACCGGTTTGGTTTTATAATTTCAGCATCACTTGTTTTGATACCAGTGAAGATTTTATTAAAATGATCTCTTCATGACATCTGCTTATGAATGATTTTCCCCCTCATACTTGTGTGATTTTAGTCTGTGTCAGATGAAAGCTGGCGTAATACAGGAGCTAAAACACAAACATGGCCTAAAAAAATAAAACATTTTGACAGGAAGAAGGGAAGACTGACGAATGTTGCAGGACAGAAAACGACAGCAGAGAGGACAAACATGAGCAGAGAAGACAAAAGAGAAGGGAAAGAATCGCAGCTCTGCTAAGCTGGCGAGCTGGAGGACGACCAGGAGAAGACAACGGTGGAAGATTGGTAGCAGACAGGGGGATTATGGCTGCCGGCTGCCCCCCCATGGCGTGGGGGGTTGTGATGCTGCATGCAGATGAGGTGCCACACAGGCGGCYGCGCTGCCAGGTCCTGGATCTCTCACAGAGCCCTTTCTCCTCCGTGTCCCCCCGGCCTCCCCCAGCCCCAGGCACCCCGCTGGGCTCGGGGCTTTACAACCCCGGAGGAGCGCTGCAGCCAGGCATTCAACACCAGGCCCCGCGCCACTTCTCATGCAGCCATATAGTGGCTCATCCCCTCATTCACAAACACGACAACAACAGGCGCACAGAAACTGGCACTGGAGGCAAACTACAACCAAAGAAACTATGAGAAACGGGTCTCTGTCGCCACCATTCACTCCCAGCACAACAGGGCCGAGGTAAAATACTTGCTAATAACCACACCGAGGGGAAAACTGCAGCCAAAGACCTCCAACAATTCCTCGTAAGACTTTGTGTTGGCATCCAGAAGATCTGCTGCCCTCTCTCTGCCATCTGGAGTCTAACAGCAGCGCAATGAGACCAAATCAAAAAACAATTTCTAATTTTTTTTTACCTTTGGAGGCGGCTTCTTCAGCAGCACCAGAAGAGCCTGTAGCACCAGGTTGGAGAAACGAGGCCCAATCGGAACGTAATCTGAAGGAACAGAAAGTTGATGTTTTTTTTAAATCTGGTTAACAAAACAAAACGTCCTCATAAAAATAAAAACACAGCCAAAACGCTGGGTAAATGCTGAAAAACTGCCGAAATTTGCTGAAACATGCCTGTACCTGAAGGCTAACTGAATGCTAAAAGTAGTAAAAGGCTAATTAAAAGTATCACAAGACTAGCTAGAAGCTAAAAGATACTGAAACGCTATCTAAAATATAATGTAGCAAAAATATAAAGGAACAAAAACGGCTAGCTAGAAGCTAAAAATACCAAAGATATAAGGTAAAATGAGGGAAAATTAAGTTTGAAGCTAAAATTAGCTAACAGCTAGCAAAAGCTCTAAAACCTCTAAAAGTATCAAAAGGCTGACTAAAATAAAAAAAGTGGTAGTTTAAAGCAAAAAGTAGCAAAATCATTGCATAAAATAGTCAAAGGCTAACCAAAAGCCAAATGTAACAGCTAGCTAGAACCAAATGTAGCAAAAGAACAGTAGGTGACAGCTAAAAGCAGTAAGGGAAGACAAAAAGAGGCAATTTGCTGAAGCAAAAGGAATTAAAGAAATCCCTCTTTTGACCCCTCCTCACACACACACACTACTAAAAAAACAAAATAAAATAAAACAAAAAAACAAGGTTCTCACCCAACAAGCGTTCAATGTCGTCTACAACGACGCAGCTCAGCTGGGATTTGTAGGCATCTTCAAATATCTGTTCAAAAGAAACAAAATATTCAGCCTCAGTCAAGATCGACCAATAGAGACATATCTTTCATCTTAGGCTCCACCCCCTAAAATTTATGTAAAAAATTAGCTAAATTTTTGGTTATGCTAGCAATGCTCAGATTGTCAGTGAAAGTAAAAAAAACAGACTTAAGAAGAAAACTTTTGGTTTAAGACATGATATGTTGATATATATGAAATTATTTCACTTTAGTTTGTTTGAATCTGATTTAAAATCTAACGTAACTTCTTCGTTTTTGTGGTAAAAAAAAAACTTGATTTATAACTAAATCATCTGTTCTAAATGTGAATATCCAACCTTTTTGATTGCTTGGCACTTTGCGATCTCAGAATGTCCGATCATCTTGTCAGGAGAGCAGATCTTGATGAAAGGGAACTGGGAATCTTCTGCGATCTTAGCTGCCAGCGCTGTTTTGCCGCTGCTCGGTGGGCCTGAGGGTGAAGAGCGAGTTTGAAACCTGCAGTCGGAGTTCTGCCATTAGACCGTGAGACGTTTTTAATGCCGCACCTTCCAGAAGCACAGACACCAGCGGCGTGCGATCGCTGTTCTTCGTCTGCTGAACCAGCAGCTCCCCGTCCTCCAGAACCGCCGACACCGGGTCTCCCCACCGGATTATACCGTTCATGATGTAGCTGGCGTAGTCCTCCTGGTTGGTTCCAAATGCCTGGAGGAGAGGAACAAAAACATGAAACTTTGTAGTTTCTCTTTTGATCCAACAAATTCCATCAAACAACAAAGTTTAGGAGTCAAACGCACAAACCAKCAAAATGATTAAAGTCTACAAATACATCAGGATTACTCTGACAACTCCAATGAGCTAAACTAAGCTAAAAGGGGCAGGTATTATACGATTTTTTTCTTCTTCTGCAACCTTTCATTTATGATTTGTATTTTTATTGTATATAGAATTTGTTTTTTTTAATGAAAATGAATGACTAAACTAAACTAAACTAAACTAAACGACTAAGATGCTATCCTTGATGGTGGGCAGTTTGTTCTTCCTGTCACTCAATCACTCCAGCATTATAAAGACAAAAGTATAACTTACCGGTTTGATGTCGTTATTCAGTGAAGCCATGAAGTCTAGTCTGCTGACCTGCAGCTTCTCTGCTGTCTGAATATCGACCTCCACTGTGTTGCTCGCCTACAGCACCAAAAACACAAAACTTTTACACTTTCAGACAGCAACAAAACACAAAGAAAACTGCTTTTACAGCAAGAATGCTGCGAGCTGAATGACTTTGCTGAAACCTGCTGAAGAGCCTGAAAGTTGAAGCCAAGTTGTAGCTCAAAAGGAGCAAAACACAAGCTAAATGCTAGTTAAAAGCCAAAAGTAAAGCATGAGCAAAAAAGTAGCAACACTCTTGCTAAAAACTAAATGTAGCAAAAGAGAATAGTAACAAAAGGCTACCTGAAAGCTAAAACTAACAAAAGTACTAACAAAGCAGCAAAAGGTTAGCTTAAGCTACATAGGAGCTAAGTGTTGTAAATGGGCCAACTAAAAGCTAAAACGAGCAAAGCAGCTAAAAGCTAACAAACTCAAAAAGCTAGCTCAAACTATTCACTGCTAGCTAGCGTGGCTAGCTTGAAGCTAAAGGGTATTAGAAAAAAATTTACAAAGCACATAAGCTGAAACAGATTTTATTGAGAACAAAGTTTTTCAGGACAGGGTTCCTAGAGTTTAAGGCAAGTAAATTTAAGACTTTTTAAGACCTCTTTAATGC